CAACTTGGTCATATTGGTAGGAAGATTTAGAGGAACGCATATCGTGAAAATACGAGAAAACGCAAGATACACGAGGCCATCGATATACTGATAGAGAGAAATTTAATGAACAGGAGACTTGAAGAAGGCATGATCAGCGAAAACTTTACATATTGCCTAAACAAACTCAGAGAAGACCAGGCAACAGTAAGATTATCAATAAGAAGACGACTGGATCAAGGTAATATCCTTAATTTTAGGAAAAGAGATCGCAGGGTGATGAGAAAGGAACAATCAAAAGCAAAGAGGAGACGTCAAAACAAGGATTTCCACGACAATTGTGGTTTGGCACACAAGAGACGAAGGAATTGATAGACATGGTATTACAGAAAGAAATAGGAAAGACGCGGTGGAGACAAAAGCTAACAATAGACGTGTTTGATCATAGAAGTGATCCTTGAATCATGACTATTCTTAGTCAACGAGCTCTAGCTTACACTGTTTCTATCCTCTTTCTATTTATAATATCAAGTCTATGACTTCCTATGTGATAGTCTCTTGTGTGCCAAACCACAAACGTTGTGGTTCAACAATGAACCTAATCAAAGCAAGCAGTACCACAACATTTGTGGGTTGGCACACAAGAGACGATGGCATGGCCAGTCATATCCTTGGTATTAGGAATGTAGACAGGGGGACGCGGCGGCGATTTTGAGCTAGTTGGCTGACAGTAGGTTTTACCATAGGCTTGGTCCATGGTTCAAAAACTTTACGATGAGACTTACTTAGAGGTTTCAGCCTCGAATTAGCTATTTATACGGAGGGGAGGGCGAATAACGCCTCGAGTAGCACTGATGGGGTGGCAGGGGTTGAGTGAAATACGTATACCAGAGAGATAGCATACGGATTCTACGGAGCAAGAGGGAGACTCTGATAGAACCCAGGGAAGGAGGACTACGTAACAATATGGCAGACTCTGGTCAACATTCCCAGCACAAGTGTGAAGGGGGTGGATTGTGAAGGGTTTTCATCAACGCCGCTCGAAGGAGCACATCAAACTACATCGAAATAAAAACGGCAAAAAGTGTAACAGTGAATACGTGATAGGAGGCTATAGGAAATGTAATTAACCCAGGGCAAGGGGGGAGATACCACAACTGTTTAGCTCACGTTTGCTGAAAGGATTAGCTTCACTTGTCTTTTTGACGAGTTGTTGTATGGTGCTAAGAATGGCAAAACTCACTGACGATGCCGACTACGATGCCAGCGAAACGTCTGGTAATGTACCATGTCAACAGTCCGACTTTGGAAATGATCATGCATACAATGGACTCCGGATTAGGTGCGTTCCTCTAAGTCTTCCTACAAATATGACCAAGTTGCGAAAACAAGGTCAAACAACTTCTATACAACTAAATGAGACTGCGACCACACAAAAGGTCACACCATCTTGGTCTCTTATATCTTTAAGAGTATTTAGTTCATCCTATTTTGTATTCTAGCTTAAACCTCTTAAAAAATACCCATAAGGAGTGCATTTGAGTATAAAATTGCTAGTGCTCTTAAATTTAGCCTCAATGCAATTTGAAACTGTCCATCCATCAGTACAGTAAATATCACCATAGGAAGAATAATTTTTTTCATTCGAATAGGTGACAAGGATCCTTAAATTTTTGTGAGAAGGATGTCCGCTAACTATGGAATCATTGTATAAAGGATATTAGTGTAATGTAATAAATGCCTTCAAGAAATCCCAAATGGAATAGTATTTTAAATAGAATTGACAAAAAATTGATAATGATTAAAATTAGAATATGATAATACTCAAAACTCAGCACAAGTGCAGGCTAACCATTATTAAATGAATTTATTTTCACCTTACTTTGATGAATCGCTGATCACTCCAATGATCTCGATCAATCGTAGCCAACTAGCTCCGATCTGTTCACCAAAGCAATTAAGAAGATATTGCACGCACTCCAGTTGCTTAGAGCGGACATCATCGTATTGGCTCATCGACAAATTACTAAGAGGATCGAGCACTTGAGTAGTAAGAGCCTGAGGGCGAAAAAATGGGAAAGATGAGTTAAAACCACCCAAAAACGTATGTTGGTAATGCTAACCATAATAAAATAATCAGTAGCAATTTAGAGTTTAGGAGGGGTGTAAAAGTAGAAAATGGATGTTCCATGGTAGTATACAGAAAGCTTCAAAAATAGAAACTAGTGCAAGATTGTAGCTTAACGGATGCCCAGTTAATTATTAAAAATAACAGTTGGGATGATGATTAATGGAAAAAAAATTATGGCATAATAAAAAATAATAATAAACTAACATTATGTGGAAGGTAGCAAACACCAAAATAAAAGGATAAGATAAAATACCACCATATTTGTATTCCGATTCTATGTTCTTCCCTATTTATAAATAAATATGTACATATATAATCAATTAGGATAGTACAATAAAGAAATACCATTTTGAAGCATATTTAATAGCAGAGGTCTCCTGAGAATGTGTAAACTTGAACTTTTCATGAACTTCGCATTTTTAGAAAGTAAATTTGACGAGTAAAGTACTAATTAATTGTAAAAAATACAAAAATAATCTAGCCTACTTGATCCTTCCAAAACGAAGGCTCTCTGGGCGCTATGATGGCTTGTTTGATCAAAACAACCAAAGCATCCGCAGCAAGTCGACGCAAGCCAGAATGAGGTGATTTACACATCTTAAAAATATAAAAGGATATTATGCAATTATAGAACGTAATAGAGCTTAAGAATTGCAGAAAATCTGAATAAAACGAATGTAAATATTTGACTAAACATAGTAGAATAAGAAAAAAATTAAATAATTAATAAACCTACTACTTTCATAATAAGTATACAAAACTAATCCCAAGATTTAATAATTGTGTATAAAGAAACGATAATGAAACTAGCAAAATATTATGCATTAAGTGTCTTGATACTACTTGAGATAAGTAGGGTAGCCTAGAGAATAAAAGAATTTTTTTCACGGAAAAGGAAATAACCTTATTTATACAAATTAGAGCGAGTTTTCTTTGTTAATTGCTCAGCGGATCTGGTGTTATTTCTTATTGACTGGAAAAACGATAGCTGTAATAATCAGGAAAGCGATGAACTTCACTTTGTTAATATATATTAAAAATTCTAATCTCAAAAGTTTGAATTTATGATGGGATACAGGAGTAAATAAAAGATCTACGAATTAGTTGATAAATTAAAGGCAATGAAAAACAACATCTTCATCAAGTAATTCTGTTAAAACATTTAAAATATGGATTAAGATTTCACGAATAATTAGGGGATTCTGTTTTACTTACGAATGGATTTTTCAGTGGTTATCTTCTATTTTTTTGCATTTAAGTATTGTTTCGAGACTATCAATAAATCAATAATAAGATATGTATTCACCCAATTTCATTTAAGGTGATGAAGGACTCCCATTTTGCACTGTCACGGCTCAACTCCCGCTGGGGGTGTTGGTAAGACCGATGCGAGATCGAAACTGCAGTCACCCTGGATGAGAACAACTTTTGGGAAAGCAAGGTTATCTAAAATTCATTGAAAGAGTCAGCTCTACTCAAATCATTGCTGGAAAATTCTTCTACAAGTCTTTCATCACCTTAAACCAAATCGGGTGAATACATA